TTCCAACATCCTGAATCTTAGCTACAAACAGGTGAAGACCTGGTTCCAGAACCAGAGAATGAAATCTAAGAGGTGGCAGAAAAAACAACTGGCCAAGGAACACCAGTGATGTGACTCAGAAGGCCTCAGCACCCACCTACCCCAGCCTCTACTCTTCCTACCACCAGGGATGCCTGGTGAACACAGCTGGGGACCTTCCAGTATGGAACAACCAGACCTGGAGCAATTCAACCTGGAGCAACCAGACCCGGAAACATCAGTCCTGGAGCAACCACTCCTGGAACACTCAGACCTGGTGCACCCAGTCCTGGAACACTCAGGCCTGGAGCAGTCCCTTCTATAACTGTGGAGAGGAACCTCTGCAGTCCTGTATGCAGTTTCAGCCAAATTCTCCTGCCAGTGACTTGGAGGCTGCCTTGGAAACTGCTGGGGAAAACCATAATGTAATACAGAAGACCACTAGGTATTTGAATACTTCACAAACCATGGATTTATTCCTAAACTACTCTACGAACATGCCACCTGAAGATGTGTGAAGATGAATGAAACTGACACTACTCAGTTTCACTCTGAGCACTGGCTGAATCCTTTCTCTCACCTCCTCCCCTTCCTCGTAGGATTTTTCTTGTTTGGAAACAACGTGTTCTGTTTACATTATGCCTACCCAGTCAATCTGAAAGGAGTGGGGTATGGTGGAGCCTAATCAGAGAGGTTTCTTTGTTTTTCCTGTTGGATCTTCCTGGAGAAAAGATATTTTAATAACCTTGGCTACTAAGGACACCGTGATAGAAGCTGCCTCTGGCTAGAGATAAGTAGATCTAATACTAGTTTGGATATCTTTAGGGTTTAGAATCTAACCTCAAGAATAAGAAATAAAGTATAAATTGGTGTGAAAAAAAAAAAGAAAATGTGGCATATATACATCATGGAGTACTGTGTGACCATAAAAAAGAATGTGGTCATGTTCTTTCCAGGAACATGGAAGGAGGTGGAGGCCATTCTTAGTCAACTCAGGTAGGAACAGAAAACCAAATATTACATGTTCTCACTTATAAGTTGGAGCTAAATGATAAGACCACATAGACCCATAGAAGGGAACAACACACACTGGGGACTATCCGAATTTGAATGGTTGCAGTGGGGAGAGGATCAAGAAAAATAATTTGTACAACAAAACCCCATAACACAAGTTTACTTATATAACAAACATGCATATGTACCTTTGAACTTAAATAAAAGTTAAAAAAAAAAACACTTCTCGCTGGGCACAGTGGCTCATGTTTGTAATCCCAGCACTTTGGGAGCCTGAGGTGGGTGAATCACAAGGTCAGGAGTTTGAGACCAGCCTGATAAACATGGGTGAAACCCCGTCTTTACTAAAAATACAAAAATTAGTGGGAAATGGTGGTATGTGCCCATAATTCCAGTTACTCAGGAGGCTGAGGCAGGGGAATTGCTTGAACCCGGGAGGTGGAAGTGGCAGTGAGCCAAGATCATGCCACTGCACTACAGCCTGGGCAACAGAGCGAGACTGTCTCAAAAAAAAAAAAAAAAAAAAGGCTTCTCTGGGAACTGTGGGACTACATCAGGACTAGCAGAAGTCAGTGAAAAAGAACTGAAACCTACACCTAGGAGCTGATTTTCACATGTAGCTTTTGGTTAAGGACATGATGTAGAGATGGGGTTTCAGCATGTTTTTAAGGCTGGTAGTTCTTTTTTTAGAATCCAACTTGCCTTTTAGGTGGGGTGTTTAGATCATTTACATTCAAGATTTGTAATTTTATATGGGGATTTTATGCTGTCATCATGTTAGCTGGTTTCTTGTAGACTCAATTGTGAACTTGAGTTTTATAGGGTCTGTGGGCTACATAGTTACAGTGGTTACATAGCCCACAGTAGCTGCCTCCTTCAGCCAAGACTGGCTATAGTTTTCTTATAATAGTGGGCAGAAAACAAGGGCTTTAGAAATCTCAAATCAGGGGAAGTTGGTTTGACTAACACCCTAGATTAACACTCCCAAATAGTGGGGAAAAAAGCCTAAAAACAAAACTCTACACAGGTGGATTTCTAGGGTTGATGGCCTATAACTCTTACTCAATAAAAGAGCTGTAAGCACATGACAGTTTGATGCAATGCCTGCTTGTGGCATTTGGGAGAGGGAGGGTTTGTGATGATGTTGTTTTCCACATTGCTGACATAGGAGCATATATGCTGAGAAAAGGGGTCTTCCATGCTTGACGCAGTCTTTCCCTAGAGTGGTCTACCTATCAGAAGCACCCAGTAGAGGTATCTATCTACTTTGGCAGGGGAAGTAGGGTTACTGAATACAAGAAAGTATTTCAGGAAAAACAGCAGTCCCTGGAGGGTCAGGTAAATCTTTTTGATCCATAGGCAGTTAACATTAATAAAGTACTGCAGAGTCAGTCTTTCCAAGACTTCTGTCATTATGAACAGAAAACCTTCGCTTGCCTACCAGGCCTGTGATGACCAGAAGACTCCCATTGCCTCAAGACAGGAGCTAGTGCCGCAGATTTTTCTGGATAGCTGGCATGGAAGATGTTTACACAACAAAGTCACCACTAAACCACTGCTTAAATCTCATCCACAGCGTTCTTTTTTCTGCACTGTAGTCTAGAAACATCCCTTTAAATGCCAGAAAGTCCATCAATGTGAGCAGCATGTTGAATATGTCACAAGCTACTCCTCTTTATGGTGCTTCAATATCATTGTGAAGGCCACCATGTTGAATTTGGGACTCATGCTCCAGCAGCTGTTCTTCAATATATTTTTCTACCAAAGAAAGGTATTCATTAAAAACTGGTGTGTACGTGAGTTTGTACACTTACATGTTCAAACTCCTGGTAGTATTTTTTCATGAAACTTCTTTGCAGTACCTGGAACTCAGTATCCATGAAAATGGACACTATAGAACCAACCACAGCATCAAATTTGGCTTCAGAGGCAGAAGACATGAACAGTGTGAAGCTCTCTTCCTCTGGGGCTTCCCTCACTTCTGCTGCTACATCCATCCTTGATCTGGAAAGGGATGGGCAGCCTCCCATCAGCCTGTGGCCTAGACCACAGTAGAGTCTGTGCCTATGCACCCTGCCCCTGTCCCTCTCCAACAGGACCCCACTTGTCCAGGTTACTAGCCTCTAGGCACCATGCCCTGCCACCTGTCACCATGGCAAAGTCATCATTCTTAGTGACTACATAATATTCCATTATATGGATGTAGCATATTTGATGCATATTCTACTTTTGCTTTTCCACTGTAATAAATGTTGCTGCTATGAAAAACAAAAGAACTCCTTTAAGGTCATTTTTTTTTTGAGATGGCATCTGGCTCTGTCAGCCAGGCTGCAGTGCAGTGGCATGATCTTGGCTCACTGCAACCTCTGTGCCCTGGGTTCAAGCAATTCTCCTGCCACAGCCTCCTAAGTAGCTGGGATTACAAGTGCCCACCACCATGCCCAGCTACTTTTTTTTCAGTACAGATGGAGTTTCACTATGTTGGTCAGGCTGGTCTCACTCCTGATGTCAAGTGATCCACCACCTTGGCCTCCCAAAGTGCTGAGATTACAGGCATGAGCCACTGCATCCAACCCTTAAGGTCATTTTGTAAGGCCAGTCTTGTGGTAATGAATTCCCTTAGCATTTTCCTATTTAGAAAATATTTTATTTCTTTGCTTATGAAACTTAGTTTGGTAGGGAATGAAATTCTTGCTTGAAATTTCTTTTCTTTAAAGATGCTGAAAACCGGCCCCAGTCTCTTTTAGCTTGTATGAGAGTGCCACTGTTACCCTGATGGAGTTCCCTTTGTAAGTGATCTGATCCTCTTCAGCTGTCTTTAAGAATTTTTTTCACATTGACCTTGAGAAGTGTCATGACTATTTTTCTCAGGGATGGTCATCTTGTATAGTATCTCAATGGGGCTTTTCTAGATTTCTTGAATTTGCATGTTGACCTCTCCAGTGATATTGGGAAATTTTCCATGGACTATATCCTCAAATAAGATTTCCAAGTGGCTTATTCTCCCCTTTCTGTCAGAAATGCCTTGAGTCATACATTTGGTCTCTCTGCATAATCTCATATTTCTGAGGGTTTATTTACTTTTTAGAATACTTTGTTCCTTTTGCTTTATTTTTGTCTGACTGCATTGATTTAAAGGACCAGTCTTCAAGCTTTGAGATTTTTTCCTTAGTCTAGTCTATTTTTTGAATTTTTATTTCTTTATTAATTTATTTATTGTACATTAGGTTCTGGGGTACATGTGCAGATCATGCAGGATTGTTGCATAGGTACACACATGGCAAGGTGATTTGCTGCCTTCATCCCCCCATCACCTATATCTGGCATTTCTCCCCTACTTATCCTTCCCCACCCTCCCCCCCTCACTGTCCCTCCCCTAGCCCCCACCCACTGATCGCAGTGTGTGATGCTCCCCTCCCTGTGTCCACGTGTTCTAATTGTTCAACACCCACCTATGAGTGATGACATGCAATGTTTGGTTTTCCGTTCTTGTGACAGTTTGCTGAGAATGATGGTTTCCAGATTCATCCATAACCCTATGAAGGACATGAACTCATCATTTTTTATGGCTGTGTAGTATTCCATGGTGTATATGTGCCACATTTTCTTTACCCAGTCTATTGATTATGGACATTTGGGTTAGTTCCAGGTCTTTGCTATTGTAAATAGTGCTGTGATGGACATACATGTGCATGTGTCTTTATAATAGAAAAATTTATAGTCCTTTGGGTATATACCCAGTAATGGGATTGCTGAGTCAAATAATATTTCTATTTCTAGATCCTTGATGAATTACCACGCTCTCTTCCATAATGGTTGAACTAATTTATACTCCCACGAACAGTAAAAGTGTTCCTATTTAGTCTAGTCTACTGTTAATGCTTTCAACTATATTTTGAAATTCTTATAGATAATTTTTCAATTTTAGAGTTGAGTTTGGTTTTTCTTTTTTATTCTTAAATGCCAAGATAAGAAACAATTATAGAGAGAAGAAAAATTTATCATCCAAAATATAGAAATCTGTACAACTTTGCCACAATCAATATACATGAACTGTACAAATTTACACCAGTTCATAATTTACCAAATAAAAGATGACTAACAAAGTTCACAAAATAGATGGTGGTTTGTGGAAAAGACTTTTACCCAATTAAGTACAAGGAAAGTTACAAATCAGACCTCCACTTTCTAAAAATAAGAAGTTTACTCAGTCTTAGAAAACTACAAGCTAGCAAATGTACAGAGAGCTGGCTGGTGCTAACACCACAATTGAGACAGTGTCTTTTTAAAGGTCTTTTTAAAAGGCTGTTGCCATGGTAGATTCTGGTCACTTGCTACTTTCAAGGCCAAAAACACAATACAAGGTCTGACCATTTCCCCAGGTCATGCTTACTAGTTTGTCTTTATGTACATTTATACATATTTAAGTGCTAGGTAAAAGTCTTGTAAAATTTCCAGTACTACAGTGTTTGAAATGTTAGCTTTCCTATTGAGCTGCCAAAAAGGTTAACAGTAACAATTTTCAAGTGTAATAGTGCAAATTCCTCTGCAAGATTTACTGCAGAGAAAAATTATTTGAAATACAGATTTTCTTTAAAGGGATTGATGTACAAATTTAGGTATGTCTGGGAGAAACTGAAACCACCCTAGGACTTCCTTCCCTCGCAAATAAAGTGATCATTTACTTGGACTCACAGGCTATTAAAATTAATCATTGAAAGGTACTGTCCAAACTATGGCACCGTCACTTAAAATTTTTTTTTACCACTCTATCTTGTGCCAGATCTTCACAGCTGTGACATGGTTTAAATTCCATAATCCATCCCCAAGAGGAGCCCACCGAAAGCAAAAATCAACTTTATCCATCATTATAAGATGATCCATCCATAGACTATATCTTAACCTGATACAGACTATATCTTAACCTGATATTGTAGTTTTTGGAAGGGCTCGTTCTGCCCAAGAGAAGTTCCTCCTTATAGCTGATTCGGCTACCATTTGCATGTTGGTGCCGTTTTGAGTGCTACCTCCTGCTGGTGAGGCTTCATACAGCACACAGATGGAGCCATCCTCTCCAATTCTGTAGGACACTTCGTAACGGTCAACCCCAGAGTGTGAGTTCACTTGGGAGAAGCCTGAACAGCTCCTGACTGCTCAGTCCAATCTGCTGTGCTGCCTGTCCAATCAGAGGATCCATTTTATGGTTGATGCGAATACAACGGTAACCCGATCCCTTGCATGGCTCTTCTGGGAACCAGTGATGTTTATAATGTTCTGTCAGCAGCTCCTGCAGGCTCTGGCTGAAGGTCTGCAGCTGTCGCTCGCTCGTGAGCCCCTTGGTGCGGAGGAACTTGGAGATGAAGGACACGGCGGCAGCAATCTCGCCTATCATGGTGGCAGCCCGGGTGTAGAAGGGATGCATGGGGGCGGCAGGTGGGGGCGGCCCGGGGCGGCTGGGGCTCGGCGGCGCGGCCCCGACAGCGGAGAGGCCACCCTGGACTTCCTCACCCAGAGGAAGGCTGACAGGAAGAGAGGGTGTGAGGAGCGGATGGCTTTTTTGTTTTCTTTCTTTAGCCTAAAAAATTATTTTCAAGACAGGAGGCGGCAGGAGAGAAGAGGAGACGAGCGTTTGTGGCCTGGTCACATCGCTCGGACCTCCCCAGCGGCCTCCGCCTCCAGCTCCGCAGCATCTGACGATCCCAGCTGCTGTATTTCCAGCTCCGAGGGGCGAACTGGTTTTTCTTAAAATAACCATGTCATCTTTCAACTTTTGGATCTAGAATATCTTTTTTTTTTTTTTTTTTTTTTAGATTAGGGTTCAACGTCCAACTTTCTCCTGAATCTCACTGAACTTCCTTGCCATGCAGATTCTGAATTCTATATCTGTCGTTTCAGTTATTTCAATTTGTTTAGGATCCATTGCTGGGAATCTAGTGCGATAATTAGGAGGTAAAGAAACACTCTGACTTTTTGATTTGCCGGAGTTTGTGCACTGATTCTTCCTCATTTGAGGTGGCCGGTGTTTCTTTACCTTTTTAATGTTGCTCTTATTTCGATGGAACTTTTTAATATTCTGTTTTCCCTTGAGCATTTGACTATGGTGTATGTTGTGTATAGTTGATTAGCTTCATTTCTGTGTGCTTTCAGAAGGCCAAGGCTCTGTATAGCTTCTTTAGTTGTGGCTAGATTCCTGCATTGGGTTTCACAGGTGATGTGAGTTGAAGGCATTTTTGTTTGGTGGTGTAATTCAGGCTGTGATCCAGTAGACGGTGCTTAAGATTAAGTTCCAGCAGATAGGCTTTTACTTAGCTGCATACCTCTTTTGTGTATCAGTGTTCACAGCCATGCAGTGTGGAGGGGAATCACATGGGCGGTGGTGAGACATTAACCACCTTACCAAATTTGTTCCTGGGCCTTAGAGAAGACCCATCCAATTACTGGTGCCACACCCATGATTCCTTAACCCCAAGGGGGCCTTTGATGGGCTGTGCTCCTCCATCCATTAGGATTGGCCTGAGTTGCAAGTTAAGTCACCAGAAGACCCATAGCTCCCCAGGTACCCACTGGTTCTTTGTGATTGGCAGCATCAGAGCTGGTTGTACATTATGTCTATGAGTGGTCTATTGATGCAGTAGGTTAAGGGTGAAAGATCACCAGGCAGTGTGGTATTGCCATGAGTGTAAACCTGGTGTGGTCCCTGCAGCCCAGGGATTTTTTTTTCCCAGCAGATGACTGTGGGGATTGCCCATCATTCTCCTCATTGAGTCTCTTTCTGGTGTCTGCCTCAGTAGCAGGCCCAACTAGCTAGTTTCATCCCATACCTCTGCACCCAGGTCACTGGGTTGTTAGGTGTTCCAGACTATAGCGGTCCCTTGGGCAGAGATTTGTGGCTAGAAAACAAGCTGTGTCCAGATTACACTTGTGAAAAAAGGTATGCCTAGTTCCCACACCAGCACATGAACTCATGCTTCACTCTTCTCAGTATTCTGAGAGGGGAAACTCTTCCCCAACTCAAGTTTGGGTGACAGATTTCAGCTTGCTACCCCTGCACTGTGTGCTTGAAACCTGGGAGGGTTTTTACTGAGCCTGTGATTTTGTCTTTCTGCTCCTTGGGGTCAAGCACTGGTTGTGTATGTGGGCTGAAATACTCCCGGGCCACTGGTAAAGAATTCAGGCAGGACAGCAAAGGCTGTGCTGTGTGTATAACCCTGTAGGAGCAGCCAGGCTGGTGCACAGTTGGGTATGCAGATCAGATATGACCAAGTTCCCTGAGAAAGACAGCTTTGCCCTTTCCTGTCCCAGCAGTCATCAGGGGCTAGAATCACTTAGAGGAAAATGGAGAGCCTTGGAGGATGGGTACCTATGGTACCCATCTTTATTTTGCTGTAGCTGCCCTACTTGCAAAAGGGCTTGGCACATGTTCAAGCTCTGCCTCTGCCTACTCTCTGGGAAGATGACTTCTGCCAGCTAAAATGTCTGTGGGTATCATGAGATCTCTAGTAGCACAGATGTCTGTGCCAGGAGTGTGGTACCTCACAGTTATTTAGCTTGACCTTTCCTTAGAAGCTTGTCCTGGCACCTGGTGACTCCATACAGGCTTCTCAGCTTTTTCCTTCCTTAACCTTGGTATTTTGCATTGCTTCTCTATTGCCTTTCAGTTTTTTCTCTCAAAAGATCTGTTCAAAGTGTGATGGCTTACTTGATATTTTTGTTTCTCTCAGTGGGAGAGGAATTTCCTGGCAACATTAGCCATCTTTTCTCTGACACTGTAAATTTCAATTTTTGGTCATCTTTTAACATAAAAAAAGAAACAGAATAGAAATTCTGGAGCTTTAAGCTTCGATAACGAAAAGGAAAATTCATCATGTGTTCAACAGCAGATTTGAGGAGGCAGAAGAAATAATCATCAAAGTTGAATATAAGTCAACTGAAATTATCTGGTCTGAGAAACAGAAAGAACAAAGAATGAAGAAAAATTAATAGAAGATAAGAGGCCTGTGGGACATCATTAATTATACCAACATATATACAATATGAATATAAGAAAGAGAGGAGAGAGAGAATGGGATGGAAAGATTGCTTGAAAAAAATGACAGAACTTACTTAATTTGATGAAAGATGTGAATCTACACATCTGGATGTAAAACAAACTCTAAGTAGGATAACTCAAAGAGATCCATGTAGGAATACATTATAATCAAATTGTTAAAAGAAAAAGAGAAATTTGTAAGAAGCAAGAGAATTGACTTGTTAGGTTCAAGATATCCTCAATAAGATAAATATTTGAATTATCATAAAAAACCATGAAGGCTGACAGGTAGTGACATGTCATGGGCAAAATACTGAATGTAAGAACTGTCAAACAAACATTCAGTACCAGGCAAAACTATTCTTTAATGATGTAGAAACATTTTGCATCTCCAGAGCAACAAAAGCAGAGATGTTGTAGTTACTAGACCTGCTCTACAAGAAATGCTAAATGGAGTCCTTGGAGGAACACTAGACAATATCTGAAATCCATATAAAGAAATAAAAAACATGGGTAAATGTAACTACATACATAAAATAAATGTCAGCATTAATGTATTTTTGGTTTATAATTCTTGATTCCTATATGACTTAAAAAGACAAATGCACAACATAAACTTGTAAGACTATGTTAAGGGGCACAACACATATATGGTTGTTATATATACATTGATATATATGTAAATATCAACATATATATGGTTGATATTTGATTTCTCCCACTTTGAACAGTTATGTTAATGTCGTGCCCATTAACATGTTATATATATATAGAGAGAGAGAGAGAGAAAAAGGAAAATTACTAAAATCAGAAATGAAAGTGGTGATATTACCAACTGCAGTGAAATAAAAACATTACAAGAGAATACTATGAACAACTGTAAGGTAACAAATTAAATAACCCAAATATTTGCCATTACTTTTAATGGCAAAAACTGTGATTAAAAACCAGTCTATAAAATAAATAACTTCAGAGATACATCAACTACTAAAACTTTCTCAAGAAGAAATAGAAAACCTAAACACATCTCTAACAAATCAAGTGATTGAAACAGTAATAAAAAAACTTTCATGGCAGTTTAGGTTTCAGAATGTAAGGAGCTTGGAAGTATGAACCCAAAGTATCTGAGACAGGTCTCAGTCACTTTAGAAAGTTTATTTTGCCAAGGCTAAGGATGTGCTCCTGACACAGCTGCAGGAGCTCCTGATGACATGTGCCCAAAGTGGTTGGCGTACAGCTTGCTTTTATACATTTTAGGTTTATGTGAGACCTCAATCAATGTGTAAGGTGTACATTGGCTCAGTTCAGATCAGCCTTTCACTGAATACACAATTTACGTGTGAGAGGGGAGTAGGATAACAGTCATTGTGCCTTAGTCTGGCTCAGTGAATCTTCATTTTTATATAAACAATAGGGCAGAGGAAGCAATCAAATATTCATTTGTCTCAGGTGAGCAGAGGGAAGAGTTTCTGTCTTGCATCTGTAAAGATAAGCTATCAATTTACATTGCCAGGGTGAAATTCAACAGACGTGTATTCATGTAAAGATCTTGAAGGCTATGAGAAATTTCCTTGTGGGCAAATTGTGAGGGAGTACTTAGCTTATAAAACATCTTCTTAGCTATTTTATTTAAGAATAAAATTGGAAACAGGTCTTCAGTTACCAGCTTCACGTTTCTTTCTGGCTTACTGATTTTCAGGTCCCAAGATTTATTTCCTTTCACAGAAGTCATCACTCTTATCTTCACAAGAAAACTGAACAAACTGAAAATCAACTTCTCTCATATCCAATAATTATGGGCACAGGAAAAACCACTGTATTCAAAATTGGAAAAACTGGTGGTGATGGGAGAGCAGATAGAAACAAGGAGGAAAAACTGGTCATTTTCAAATACCTCCAGAAAATTCTTCATTAGGCCTGCCTCAAGTAAATGTAATTTGCCAGAGACTAACCTAATGGGGTCTTACAAGAGCCAAACTGACATGAAGAAAAAAAAATATCTAGTTCCAGCCCATTCTAGGTCTCCTGTCTCAATTAACGGGAGGACAAAACATTACAAAACTTAGATTGACTTATGAAGATTACATTACAGGGGAACAAGCTCACTAAATCCCTGAGACTAACCTAGTTAGAGGACTGAATCAGTAATTACATACCTCCCAAGAAAGAAAAGCTCAAGCTTCACTTGTGATTTCTATCAAGCACTTAAAGAAGCATTAGTACCAATTGTTCTTAAACTCTTCAAAAAATGAAGAGAAAAGACCACTTGCAAGCTCATTTTACAGGATCAGAATTTTCTTGGCACCAAAGGTAGAAAAAGACACTATAAGGAAAGGAAATTAAAGGCCAATATCCCTGATAAACAAAGATGTAAAAGTCCTTAGCACAATATTAGCAAACTGAATTCAACAGCAAATTAAAAGAATCATATGCTACGATCAAGTAGGATTTACATGTATGATGAAAGAAGAATTCAATATACAAAAATATATTAATGTAATATGCTACATTAATAGAATTAAAGATAAAATTAATGGTCATCTAAGTAGATACAGGAGAAACAGTAGAAAAATATAACAATGTCCCACAATTTCATAATAAAAATTCTCATTGAACTAGGTGTAGAAAATAATTATAAATACCTGAACATAATGAAGGTCATATTTGAACAGTCAACAGTAAAAAATTGAAAGCTTTCCCCTAAGATCAGAAATGAGTCAAGGATGCTAACTTGTTACCACCATTTTTCAACATAGTACTGGAA